AAAAGTGAATCGTCATTTAATCACCCATCACGTTCCTAACCTGTTTTGTCTTCTTCTAAAAACAAATGAAGATATTTTGAAGAAAGCTGGAAACCTGACCCAATTGACTTCCACAGTATTTTTATTTGCTACTATGGAAGACAATGTTACAGGTTTTCACCTTTGTTTAAAATATCTTCTTTACTTTTAAAGATTTGAAAGCATTTAAGGGTGAGTTAATTTTCCTTTTTTGTGAACTGTCCCTTTATGTAACACCAATGCAAGGAAGGGGAAAAAGTGTAATTGACTGCAAAAAATATAAACTTAAATAAAATAAAGTACATTTTAAGTACAATCTTATTTTTGTACTTAGTGAAATTGGCATCTATCTATCTATCTATCTATCTATCTATCTATCTATCTATCTATCTATCTATCTATCTATCTATCTATCTATCTATCTATCTGTCTGTCTGTCTGTCTGTCTGTCTGTCTGTCTGTCTGTCTGTCTGTCTGTCTGTCTGTCTGTCTGTCTGTCTGTCTGTCTGTCTGTCTGTCAGTCAGTCAGTCAGTCAGTCTGTCTGTCTGTCTGTCTGTCTGTCTGTCTGTCTGTCTGTCTCTCTCTCTCTCTGTCTGTTTGTCTGTCTATTGCTTTTTTTTTTTTTTTAGGAAAAACTGTAAATGGCAATAGTTAGCCGAAAAAAGATTCTTTAATAACCTTGTTTGTTTATAATATTATGCGTCACGCTTATTAACAATAATTTGTCGGTACGCCTGGGTTTGTCAGCAATCTCCAGAGTTTAGACTTCAAAAATAACCAGCTGGAGGAACTGACTTCTGGAGCTCTGGTGTCTCTGTCAAAACTCGAGGCCCTTTATCTAGAAAACAATAGACTCAAATCCCTGGACCCTTCAGTTTTCATCGGTAACCCAAACCTTCAGCAGGTGTTTATGAGCGGGAACCGTCTGGAAAGTCTTCCTGCTGGACTCTTCCTTCAACAGAAAGAGCTTGTTTTCCTCAACCTTAGAAACAACACTCTGCTGAATTTGCCCTCAGGTAGCCTATGTTCTGTGGTCGTTTGTATGCGTAGTTGTCTGGTAATCCATGGCACTGTGACTCTGCTTTGGCGTATCTGTGGCATTGGCTGCGTTTGCACTGAAAGAGAATTTTTTATGATGATAAAATTACTTGTCAAACACCTGAACACATGAAGGGCAGAAACATTTCTGAAGTTGCTGCCACAGAGCTTGGGATCAAGGAGAACACTAGTCTATAAAGGAATAATGATTATTAGTGGTTTCACAAAGGGCAGCCCAGGTCTAGGCCTTGTTTAATTATTTAAGCAGATTTTTAGACATTATTTAGAAAAAAAAAACATTATCGTTGTGCATCTTGAGAGAAATATATAAAACTGATGTAGGCTTTTTTAAGATACCTCTCAGCAAGCTTTAATTTAGACAACTTAAACTTGCACTTCAGTCTTGGACAAGGCTAAAGCTTTGTTAGTGAAACCTGGGGCAAATATTAGATCAGTTTCTACAATATAGCAAGTTAAAAAAGATTAAACATGTAAATAAAAAATGAGAAAAAAATATTAGAATTATATAATTTAAATTCAAATTAGAGAAAACATTTATTGTTTATATTTACAACAAATTCAGCTAAATCATATTGTTGGAATAGTTTCAATTAGCATGTTGTACTGATCTCTGCATTATTGGAGTAAGCCAGATTTCCACAAATATTGTATTCTATAGGAAACTAAATTATTTAAAAGCAAGGTATTTTCTGAGAAATCTGTCAGGTTGTACTCATTATGGGTATTGTATAAGCTATAGTATTATAAAATGCTAGTTTAGGTAATTAAATGTGAAATAAGTGATCAAATCAAGTTTGGAGGATGGTGACAGTATTAACGTTGTAAATGAAAATAAATTTAAAGAATGTCTGATTTTGGTCAGCAGAGGACTCTAAACTCTGGTCAATGTCATTTACTGTAAAGACACACCCTGTCGAAAAATTGGAATAATTTTAAACCTATGGACCTATTTTTGAACAAAATTAATTATTTTTGGGGGTCCCCCTGTGATCCCAAAATAGAGCTTAATGTGAAATTCTCCTTTGACATTTAAATTGGCAAAATATACACAGTACTACCCATTAAACGCAGCCTTGGAACAATAATTTGTACTTTAAAAAATACCCTGGTTTGGGATTAGGCATGGGCCGGTAAAAGATTTAAAAATAATAATGTTANATGACTAAAACTACTAGTACTTCACTTAAATAGTATAAAATAGTATAAATAGTAAAATGTAAACCTGACTGAGAAAATATTCTTGACTGGCTGTTTTTCAACACTTGTATTTCACAGGATGCACCAGCCCATGTTGTAGTCAGTCAGTTATGTACTCGTGTAAATAAGGACGACAAAAAATACAGACCAGTTCATTAGACCTTGAAGCTTAATATTTCTGCTGCTGTAATGTTGATGTTAACTAACCAAAATAAAGAAAGTTAAACTTGATTTTAAGTATAACATCATTTAAATGGCAATAACTTGTTGCTAGTTGTATTTTTATTAGTGCTGTCAAATGCTTAATCACATAAAAAATTAAGTTTGTATTTACATAATATAATTTTGTGGAGTGTATATATTCATTTAGCGTACAGTATATACGTACACAAAGAATTGTATATATTTAGTATGTATGGCGAGGCAGTGGCGCAGTGGGTAGCACGTTCGCCTCACAGCAAGAAGGTCGCTGGGTCACTGGTTCGAACCTCGGCTCAGTTGCCGTTTCTGTGTGGAGTTTGCATGTTCTCCCTGCCTTCGCGTGGGTTTCCTTAGGGTACTCCGGTTTCCAGACATAAAGACATAAGACATAAAAGACATGGCTAAATTGTCCGTAGTGTATTAGAGTGTGTGTGTGAATATGTGTGTGGATGTTTCCCAGAAATGGGTTGCGGCTGGAAGGGCATCTGCTGCGTAAAAACTTGCTGGATAAGTTGGCGGTTCATTCTGCTGTGGCGACCCCGGATTAATAAAGGGACTAAGCCGACAAGAAAATGAATGAATATAAATAATGACGTACATGTTAATTTTAATTTTGGGTTTGATTAGTTATGATTAATTGCTTGACACAACTGTTTTTGTGTATGTATATGTTCATACTTAACATTTTAATTAATATTCCATTTATAATTTTTTTATATTTTAACTTTATTATTTACATTCTGTAATTGATAGCATTAAAAGTTCTTTAATAACAGTATTTAAATTATGAAATAAATATTTAAACGATTAAATAAAGTCTGTGTTCAATATCACATTGCTTATTATTTAATTTAGCTGGGTTGCTGCAATTGAAATTAAGTATTGTTAAATTTCACTGGTATTGATTACTGAAATATATTGTGACTTCTCTGTTCACCACTCTATCTCTCTGTCCACATAGCTGTGCTGTGCATTCCAAGATGAAAAGTACCTTTATTTGGTGATGGAGTTCATGCCAGGTGGAGATCTGGTGACTCTGACCAGCAACTATGACATCCCAGAGGAATGGGCTCAATTCTATACGGCAGAAGTGGTGCTGGCACTCGACGCCATCCATTCTCTGGGCTTCATCCACTGAGACATCAAACCAGACAACATGCTGCTGGACCGCAATGGACACCTCAAACTCGCAGACTTTGGCACATGCATGAAGATGGACTCGGTGTGTGATAAGTGCATTTGAAGTGTCTTTTAAAGTGTCTTCCAGCTGCAACCCAGTACTGGGAAAAACCTATACAGACTCCTTCAAACATACACTATGGCCAATTTGGTTTATTCAATTCACCTGTAATGCATGTGTTTGGACATGGGGAGAACAAACAAACTCCACAGTGAAATTCCAACTGGCCTAGCCAGGCTCGAACCAGCGACCTTGTTACTGTGAGGCGACAGTGCTAACCACTGAGCCACAGTGTTGCCCCTGCGTCTTAATTTCTACAACAAATTCAGATTCAGTTTTTTTCAAAAACTGTATATAAAGGAAGTGTGGGATTTTGAATTTATTCTGTTTTTATAAGTGATTCAATGAACATTTATTTAAACATGTGATTCAAA